TGCTTTTTGCAAAAAAAAAAAAAAAAAAAAAAAGAGGGGGGGGAGGAAAAAAGAAAGAAAGAAAAAGCCAAAGAAAAGGCGCAAATCATGCACAATATTGTCTTTTGCGGTTTATCTTCCTGGGGAGAAACTTTCACCTCCTCAGCCGGGCGGTGAGCGCGAGACTGATAGCAGCAATCATTCCTGCAGATAAATGAATTGAAAGGACGACACCGTCCCCCCCTTGATGAATGGGAGCAGGGGGAGGCGTCACGTGCTGCTGACGAGGGCGCCCATTGGTGTGCCCGCACTCCCCCCGCCGGCAGCCTCCGCGCCAACGGAGGGCGCGCCGAGGCGCCGCGCGCCGCTCATTGGCCCGCCCGCCTCATCAATCCCAGGTATTGTAAAGCGCTTGACATCCCCTTTTGACAAACAGGGCTGCCAGGAGTAGCAACTTTTTTTTTAGCCAAATTTTTTCCCTCTTCTCATGGAAAAAATGTTTTGCCACGATTTCTTTTCCTTCTCACAGTCATATACATTCTCTCTCCCCTTATCCCTCTCCTTATCCTTATCCTTCTCCGTCTCCATCTCCCTTTCCATCCCATTTCCCTCTCCATCTCTGTCTCCATCTGCATCTCCAGCTCCACCTCCATCTCTGTCTCTGTCTCCGTCTCTGTCTCTGTCTCTGTCTCTGTCTCTGTCTCTCTCTCTCTCTCTATCTTGTACTTCTTCAAACCTGCTCTTAGCTGAGTGTTGAACGACTTCGGACGTCTCCCAGAGCAGGAGGCGGGGATGGGGCTGGTAAATACAGCTAAGGCACTTCCAGAATGTCCCGATTCAGCAACTTTCTTTTCTTTCTTCCCCCCCCTTCCGCCTTTCAAGGGCAGCAAAGGAGGCTTTTGTTATTTGCTCCTTTTGAAGTTTGCTTCCCTCTTGCCTTGTCCTCCTGTTTATAATTTAGGATCTCGGGAGCACATGGGCACTTCACTCTCTCTTTACAAGAAATGTGATTTCTCAGGATAACCGGTTGCCTCGATTTTCTCACTTTTAACAAATCAATCATGCTTCCTGTACCCCCACCCCCCAAAAATAAGCACAGATGGATGAAAGCTCTTAACTTTCCAGGTTATTGAGGTTTGTTTTTTTTAATGGCAAATTGGAAACATTGTTGCCGATTTTTTCTTTTTTCCTCTCCCGAGTTATTCTTCTATTTTCTCCCTTTTCCCTAGTCCCCCTCGTCTGCCCCCGCTAACCCCCTTCCTCTGCACTCCTGTTCTCAACCCGAGCCCCTTTCATTCAGGTAAAACTGTAAATTTCCCAACGCGCCATTGTTCTTCAGGACTGCCGAAAGCACCCTAGAAATCCTCGAATACTTTCTTGGTATTTAAATCCCCGATAGATAGGACCAATGTAAATTTTGTGACATTCAAACCTTTTCTAGTTCACAAATCAGTCACCCTTGTCACCGTCATTGAAATTCCGCAACTCGCCACACCAGGACGGTGGAAAAAGCGGGCGCGGTCTTTGTTGCCGACCAGGCTTTTGATCGCCAGAGAAAATTTACTTACCTTCAGATGAGTGAGCAGAAAAAGAAATAACACTCCCTTTGATTTAGTTAGAAAAATGCAGACATTTGGATTCAGTGCAAACATACAACACTCGCTTGTTTTCGCGATGCGGCCCTCGATTAACCTGTCTTTGCCCAGCGCAAAGTCTATTCAACAACTGCCCCTAGTTGCTTTTTGTCCTGTCCACAAAGAGCCATTGACTATATATTAAAATGATTGTTGAAAGGTAGAGGAGTATGGCACTTAAAAGCAGGAAAAAAATCCCTGTGACTCAATCAATTAAGGCAAGCAACATTTATGCATTTCAAAAAATGCACGCGGATGCGGGGGAAGGGGGGGTTGGGGAATGAAGGTTGCATTTCTCCGTAGCTCTGTTTAAAACCCAGAAGCCCCGGGCCGAGGGTTTAGCTGAAGGGTCTGCATATTCATTAGGTCTAATTATTTTCTAGTAAGGAAAACACAAAAAGCCAAGAGTCGGAATCTTTCAATTTGCCCTTTGTTTCTAACTTCATTTGGCTTCTTTGCAGCTGAATCAGAGCCCTAAACTCTTTTCTCAGACAAAGAAACCTCAACTCATCCTTTCACAGGCGGCCCCGTTAGGAAACTCACCAGTGCCCGGGCGAGAGGAAAATGAAAATGAATATTTTTTTGCCCAGTCGCCAGCGCGGCTGCAATGGCTGGAGGAAGGCAGGGTCAGCGGCGGCCGCTCCTCGCCTTTCTGGTTTTCTGGTCTTTTCATCGACTAGATTCTTGCTTGGTGTTGGCGAGCTGGGCCGCCTTTTCCCTGAGCTCTCCCTGCTCAAAACTCGGTTTGTGTGTCTGGGATGGTTTCCCGGTGTCTGAAGGGACCTGGCCGAGCGTTTGCGCTTGTTGTGCTGGGAAATAGAAATTTGAGAAAGAAAAAAAAAAAATCAAATGTTCTGTCCCCAGCAACAAGTCTGAGGGGAGCAGTCCAGCGTTCCTCGCCAACTTTCAGTGAAACCGGGATGGGGCTGAGGGAAAGGGCTGGGGCTTGAGGGGTGGGTTTTCAAAAAAACCTGTTATACACTTTGTTCAAAAAAGACATATCCGAGCCACTCAGAGTCTTTTCTGCTGCCTACAAGGGAAAGTTGGATCCTGCCTCCACTGCAGTTGTAAAAACCTTATCTGCAAGGACAAGTTTGCTCTGGAGGCTGTACTGCTCTCACTAGGGAGAACAAACATTGAACCCACCTCGCCTGCCTTTCAAAAAAGCAAGGGAGGGACCTGCGGGGGAAGGGTAGCCGTGGGGAGGGGGAGAGGGAAAAAATTCTTCAAAAAAGAAAAGTCAGTCTTCTCCTCTCCAGTCGGTGGAAAATCCAAGGGAGAAGTTGACAAGAGGGTATTTTTAGGAAACGCGTCCAAATATACAGGGTAAGAGTGAATGTGAGGAAAAAAAAAAAAAGTTGTGGGTTGTGGAAGTTATCAAGTGGGATTTGCGGCGCTCTCTGCAGGAAATGCAAGCGGCTCCAGTTCAAAGCCACATGCACCAACGTGACATATAAGCCATTAAAATATCATCCTGACGGCTCATTTCTGCTTCATCATACATTCCCTAACTGCTTCCCGAAAGCTGGAAAAAGAGAAATGAAGGATGACCGCCTCGCTGGAACCACAAAAGAGAGGCTTGGAGGGGTTCGTGGTCCCCCCTCAGCCACCCCAAAGTGATGTGCAGAAATGAGACGATCGCGGCAACAGGTGGAGTGGGGTAAGTGCGTGAGTCCAGGGGCAGACAGATGGGACCTGAACCCCAACAGCTGGGTAGCAAGCGCCGTTATCTGGGCCATTGGCACCCAAATCCCACTGGGAGAAGCCCAGCTAGACTTTCTCCCCCATCCTCTCCCTCATTAGCCCCCCAACCGTGGGTATAAGCCCCACCCCACTGACTTTGAGGGGAGGAGGGGGCCCTTCCGCCTAGGGGCATGAGTCCATCCGTTCTTCCCGGGGTGGGGGGGGGGGACGAATGGGCCTCCCACTGGCACAGGGACCAAGAGTAGCTTGTTGCCTGCCCGCCTTCTCTCCCCTCCTTGTAAATTACCTGGGTGCCCCACAGTGGGCACAAGAAGGGGAGTCGTGGCCCAGAGCTTCCCTGGAGCCGAGTGAGCCGACCCGCGCCCGGAGGGGGCCCCTACAGGCGGCTTCTCCGCCCTGCCCCCGCGAGGTGGCAGGGAGGGACTCCGCTTCCTCTCCCCTGGGCCAAAGGGGCCAAGTTAGTCCTGCTGGCAGCAAGATAATGGAACCTCTCCGCCCCGACCTGACGGCAGATGCCGGCTGGGTCAGCCGCGGGGCCCGGATCCTCGCCCTCGCGCATCCTGGTCCTGCCTCAGGCCGCTGACCGCTGGGATCCGCTCTCTGCGCGCGGCCGGTCATGGGTTCGGGACTTGGCTTTCTTTTTCCCTGATTCGAGTGAGGGCTGCGACTAGCTCTCGGGGAGCAGGCCGCAGCTGTCTAGGGTTCTGGGCACTATCCTAGACACCTAGGGGCACTGGAAATTAGGGGCAAGTGAAGCGGGAACAGAGTCGGGCTGTGAAGGAAAGCTAGGACTGCCTCAAAGGCTGGACCAGAAAGTTTGGGGTTGATGAATGGTCCATGGGGGCAGCTGGGAGCCAGCGAGGTCTGAGGAATGGAGAAGGGGCGTTGGAGGGCTGCCTCTTGGCCCACACCGTCTGCAGGAACCTCCCTTTGGATTCCAAGATCATATTTCTCCCCCCTTCTGACAGCACTGGCCTCAGAGCAACCCACCAGAGGCACCACCTTTCCTTCCTCTATCCAGCCACTGGCAGGTTGGAGGTGTGGGGTTCAAAGGGAGGGTTA